GTCGGGTGTGGGGAATGCCCATCCTTCCATCAGTCAGGGTGGGGAAGGGTCCACCCTTTCCATCAGTGTCAGGTGTGGGGAATGTCCATCCTTCCATCATGTCAGGTGTGGGGAATGTCCATCCTTCCATCAGTGTCAGGTGGGGGGAATGTCCATCCTTCCATAAATGTCAGGTGTGGGAATGTCCATCCTTCCATCATGCAGGTGTGGGGAATGTCCATCCTTCCATCAGTGTCAGGTGTGGGGAATGTCCATCTTTCCATCAGTGTCAGGTGTGGGAATGTCCATCCTTCCATCAATGTCAGGTGTGGGGAATGTCCATCCTTCCATCAGTGTCAGGTGTGGGGATGTCCATCTTTCCATCAGTGTCAGGTGTGGGGAATGTCCATCCTTGCATCAGTGTCAGGTGTGGGGAATGTCCATCCTTGCATCAGTGTCAGGTGTGGGGAATGTCCATCATTCTGCAATCAGTGTCAGGTGTGGGGAATGTCCATCCTTGCATCAGTGTCAGGTGTGGGGAGTGTCCATCCTTGCATCAGTGTCAGATGTGGGGAATGTCCATCCATCAGTGTCAGGTGTGGGGAATGTCCATCATTCTACAATCAGTGTCAGGTATGGGAGACTGCTTTACCACCAGTATCAGACAAGTCTCACACAGGACACCTCATGGGTACACACCTGGTGCTGCTCTGCCAGGAGGTTGTGCTGTCATTTCTTCCTATATCACCAGACTGTCAGCCCTCTCTTACGACGTTTGTACGTTCAGCGCTTGGTTTTGATTATAACAATAATCAACAGACTGCAATATCAGCGAGCAACTACACTTCTCGATAGATATTTTCAATGCCCAATCAGAGAGCACCAAGACTTCACTTTAGATAACTTCAGTACCTACCAGAGCACCCAGGCTTTCCCTTGAACATCTTCACTGCCTATCATACAGCATCCAGAGATCCTCTTGAATATCTTCACTGCCTATCATACAGCATTCAGAGATCCTCGTGGACATCTTCACTGCCTATCATACAGCATCCAGAGATACTAGTGGACATCTTCACTGCCTATCATACAGCACCCAGAGATACTAGTGGACATCTTCACTGCCTATCATACAGCATCCAGAGATCCTCGTGGACATCTTCACTGCCTATCATACAGCATCCAGAGATCCTCGTGGACATCTTCACTGCCTATCATACAGCACCCAGAGATCCTCGTGGACATCTTCATGCCTATCATACAGCACCAGAGATCCTCGTGGACATTCACTGCCTATCATACAGCATCCAGAGATCTCGTGGACATCTTCCATGCCTATCATACCAGCTACCAGAGAACTCCTTGGACATCTACTGCCTATCATTACAGCATCTCAGAAGGATCCTCGTGGACATCTTCATGCATATCATACAGCACCAGAGATACTAGTGGACATCTTCAACGTGCCCCATTTACAGCATCCAGAGATCCTCTTTGGGCATTTTCCAAAAGGGCTCCGAAAATCTCCCTTATCGGGAAGGAAGCTGAACTTTTACACAGACTCACTATGAGTTTAAGTGTGTGCCCCCTTGAAGGGGATGGCCGGGGGGTCCCCCTTCATGCAAGGAGTTCTTATTGCCCCCAAATTTGAACTTATCTCAATTTTCTTAAACCCAAAATTTAATTACCTTCTATTTCCCCAG